TTTTCAGACTGATGAGCTTTGTAAAAATCGACGCGTTTCAGGAAGGTGGGGCATAGAGGAGAAACAATAATGTACAGTATGTGGAAAATAATGTGTTTTTTGAACCTTAAACCGCATAAACACATTTCATTACACCAAATACACAAAACAATGTTCTTTTTAGCAGCATCATATGACCCCTTTAATTTGTGTTCTGAAGATGAACAAAGGTCTTACAGGTTTAGAATGACATGACGGTGAGTAATTAATGACAGAATTTTCTTTTTTGGGTGAACTATCTCTTTAAGCAAAAGGTGAAAAAGTACTGTCTCAAGCATCTCCTACAAAATTCTAGAGTGTCTTTCAAATGATTTAATAGCATGAACCTCATCAACTTCTACAACAAATCCTACAACTGATTGTTTCTCAAAAGCACTTGTTGCGTTCAATTGGTACCCAAACACAACACTTCTTTCTGGTGGACTGATGAAAACCTATGTGCCCTGATTCCTAGAAATTGCTAGAACTGTCGATTTCAGCCGAATCTTGCTGGTTTCTGTGCAATATTCTTCATGCAGTCTAAGTATGGTCTGTTGGCCAACCGTGGCCATGCCGTATGAGGCTTGAGACTAGTTTCTCTCTAAATGTCTCTCTTTGTCTCTATTACAGTGGCGCCCTTTCCTGCCAGGACTCAAGTATGAGGTCATCGATTCCGCCTACATCTCCTTGTACACAGGTAACCCTCCCTCTCTTACAAACTCCACCAATTTCAAAACTAACCAGCACTGACTAGCCATCGTACTGCCGCCATGCCATCATGGTTTGAATGGCTTGATGACGTGATAGTTTGAACTTTAGTTTTTTATGTTATTCTCCGAGGTGCTTGAGAGGTTTCGGTGTGAACTGTTTATGAAACAGACCGTGCCTCTGAGAGTTGTCAAGAAGGAAGAAAGTGGCTTTTTCAGGATCATTGAGATTGATGACAGTGACTCCTTCTGCTGGAGGCTGTTTCCAATCGCTGGTCTTTGTGCAGGGATTGATACAGTGTGTCCCATCGGGCTTGAAATGACTAGATGTATTAGCCGCATTACACTTTAAAGTTGTTTTCCGTGCCCTAAAGTTGTATGCACAAAGACTTTTAATAGCGTCCTACAGAGTTCGCTACAAAATTGATGAGTTTAGTGGACGTAATTTGCTTTCAACACTTTTTGGTGCCAGTGCCCTGAGGTGAAGCAAAATTGAAAATGTGCTTAGAGCTGTTGTGACATAAAGAGAGAAAGGACACGGGGAAAAAGAACAAGGTTATAAAGACTCTGTTGGATCTTGCGTGCTCTCAAAGGGAGATCAAGCATGGAGTGCTAACATCCATAGCTTGCATACTGTTGCCATAGTGATTATGCTGACCTTCACGGATAGCCTTTTGGAAGTGTCTTCAGTACAAATGCCATCTTGTAACACAATGGAGCTTATCTGTTTTCAAGCATTTCACAGCACACACACCCTGGCCTCATAGAGTTTACATTCAATTTGGAAAGAAGAATTACAAATGAAATCTCCATAAAATTTAAATTGGTTCTTCTAGAAAGCAATGACATTAACTAGACAGCAAAGTAGAAGTATATTGCTTTTAAGTGTTCTCCTGAGAAAAAAGACCTGAATAATCAAACATCTATTCTTGAATTTCCTAAGACATCTCCCCAATGTCTCAAACTTTGCTCAGATTTGCCAATGTCTACAATCAAAAGTCAGAGAGCTCAGTATGAACTATTCATCCATTCTCCAAACCAGTGGTTCCCAACCACTTTCCTTCAGTACCCCAACTCTGCACATTTTGCATGTCTTATTTATCTGACACACCCATTTCAGGTCTTGGAGTTTCTGCTAATGAGCTGATGAGTTGAATCAGGAAGGATACATGCAAAATGTGCAGTGCTGGGTAGAACTCCAGAAACGTGGTTGGGAACCACTGCTCCTAACCATTTGTCCTATGTACGGTGGTGATCAAAATTAGAGAACAACCTATAATTTCCTCCATTTTAAAGGATACTGCTTAGTCCTATTTGAAGTTATCCCAACAGGAGTAGAAGGGCCGTTTTTAAGCATATTTCATAAATTTATTGTATTCTGAAGCACAGTATAAAACACTTAAATTAGATATTTGAAAAAGAACTCTGATCAAAATTAGAGAACACGGATACAGATATAAGTTATTGGTGTTAATCTGGCACCTGGTGCTAATTTTCTTAATTATATTACAAACCCTTTTTAACTGGCAGCATTCCTCCAATTTCCACTGGGATTGTTAGATGGCAGGCTGCTCTGAGGTGACTGAAACTCTGCGACAGGAGGTTGTCCAGATGAAGGCCAAAGGGGATGACCCTTTCAGCCATTGCAATAGAAGTTGGTCATTCCAAATCTGTGATTTCTCAAATATTGCAGGTTTACAGTGACACTAATTCATTCAAGTCCCCCAAAATGGCTGGTTGTCCACGTAAGACAAATGCACGAGAAGACAGGATAATGTTGAGACACTCAATGGGGAATCGGTTCAGCACTGCAGCTGGAATTGCTAAGGATCTGTCTCAGAATGTTTAAGAGAATTTGGACTGAAAGCCCACTCTGCAGTGACCAAGCCTCTTATCAGCACAAAGAATCAAAAGGCTAGACTCACCTTTGCTGAGGAGCATGTCGTGTGGAGAGATGAGAACTGGTCCAAAGTTCACTTTAGTGATGAGAGCAAGTTAAATTTATTTGGGTCTGAAGGGCAACATTTTGTTTGGCATAAAATGGAGTAAAAACTGAACCCCAAGTGCATAAAGAAGTAAGTGAAAAGTGGAGGAGGAAGTGTCATGGTTTGGGGGATGTTTTCTGCAGCAGGAGTTCGGACTTTTATACAGCTACATGGCAGGGGGAATGCAAATATTTATCAGAACCTCCTTCAGCAACATGCGGTACCTTCCCTGCAAGCATCTCCCAATCAGCCTGCAATTTTCATGCAAGACAATGCCCCCGCCACACTGCAAAACAGGTAAAGCAGTTCCTTGAAGCTGAAAATACTGAAATAATGAAATGGCTGGCCCAGAGTCCTGATCTAAACCTGATCTGAAAATCTCTGGAAAATCCTTGGCAACAAAGTTATACCTAAGACCCCACTACAGCTACCAAACTATGGAAGAGACTGGAAGAGAATGGACTGTGTGACAGACTAGTGATGTCCTGAGGCCGCAGATGTGCTGAAGTCATTTAAAGCAAAGGCCTCTACAGTTCCTACTAATTAAAAACTCCCCAAGATTTTAGTTGTATTCTTCTTTTGTGCTACAGTGGTTACTGTTCTCTAATTTTGATCACTGTTTTCCACAAAATAAAGGTTTTTGTTGAAATGACTTGGCTATTTTGTCAAACATGTTAGTAGAACAGTGGTATACCTAGAGCAAATATTGCTTCAAATTTTGAGTGATGAAGATTAACAATATTGTTCTCTAATTTTGATCTCCACTGTAAGGTCGCAGGGAAGCTGGAGCCTATTCCAGTATCTCAGGCCAAAGGAATGGAAACGGATGGATGGCCAGTTCAATATGAACTAATTTATCATAAAAATAATTTAAGGCACATTTATCTGAGCTATGCTAGCCACAATACTCTAAACTTAAAACACAATAGTCTCATTAGTGTCACTTTTTATTTATGCTTTGGAATTTTAAAAGAAAGGAAGGATGCTTAAAAGAAAGCTTGTGAGCTATAAAAGGCACCATCTGAGCAATAACATTTTCTCTTCAATGTTAAAACTTCCTATAAACTTTTAATGTAACAGTTCCTTTTCTTTTTACACATTTAGTTCTTCAGAGACACCGCTGTTGGAAGCAAAGGGTTGTGGTGAATGTGTCTCTAGGCAACACGACTGGTAAAAGCCATCAGTCCTCCTAAAAGAGTCAGAGTTATGCTTGAATGCCTTGTGTGAAAAATTTAGTTCTGACAAGGGCTTTCTTGCATCAAGTGTCAAATACTATGAAATGAATTCCCTTCAGAATTGTGATTGTATTGTACATTGTACAAGGCTTATTGTATGCAACATAATGAAGAATCCCATTCGCAATGACAGCAGGGTTTGATATGATTAGGGGGTAGACTGGGGCTGATAACCAAAGGGTTGTAGGTGAGACCCAGGAGACGTTTTGATGCATGAAAAAGAACAATTATATCATCCCGCAAAATACAGCATGCCACCACTGGTTATTGTCAGTGCCACATTTGCATGTGTGAGAAATTTATATTTTGAACACCTCGTTCTGCTGTGGTGTGCTAAAATAGCCCAGGGCCTGAATGGAAAGTTCTTGTTTAGTACGTTAGTGGTATTGCAATGTTAAATACTTGAGTGTGTTCCCTTTCATTTTGGTTCTTGTTTGAGTTGAGCTGCTAGTATGTGAACTCCCTTTGAACGTAACACAGAGCTTAAGCACTTCACAGTGTTCGTCTCACACACATTAAAGTGCAGAGTGTGACAACAGCCACCTCTGCTCTCTCTTGGGTTTCAAGCACACATCAAAGCCTGTCTCATCTGCGTGGAGGGGCTCTGGTGGTCCTCGTCGTTTGAAGGGTGGCACCTTCATTTGTCACCCAGACATTCTGGTGTATCTGATGTGGAGTGACCCACATATTAGCAAGGCACTGACATTGAGCTTAAACAGACAGACAGTCTGCACATAGGCATAGGCAAATCTGTCAAAGGAGTCCTGAATGGTTGCCAAGGTGATTGTTAGGGTGTTCTCCAAGGGTGCTAGGATGTTGATAAGCAGTTGCAAGGGAGTTCTGGGTGTTTACTAGGGCATGGTTAGGCAGTTGCTAGGGTGGTGGTAAGTTGTTGCTAGAGTGTTATGGGTGGTTGCTTGGACATTGCTAAATGATTGTTCGGGTGTTCTGGGTGGCTGCTATGGGTGTTGATAGGCAGTTGCCAGTGTAACTTGAGTGACTGCTAGGGTGTTGTCGGCATGTTGCTTGGGAGTTATGGGTGGTTGCTATGGCATCACAGATCTAGAGCTTTCCATGATGTTGTAATGCAGTTACTATGTTTTTTGGGGGCTAGCTAAGAAGTTACTAGGGTGTTGTTAGATGGTACTATTGGTGTTTGCTAGGCCATTTTTAGGAGGTTGGTAGAGTTTTCTGGGAGTTGATAGGCACGTGTCAGGGTGTTCTGGGTATTTATTATGTTGTTAGGTGTTTGGTAGGGCATTATGGGTGGTTTCTTGGGTGTTCTGGGTTGTTGAAGTTGCTGTTGGGCGATTGTTAATGTGTACTACAGTTGAGGTCAAAAGTTTACATCCCCCTTTCATAATCTGCAAAATGTTAATTATTTTACCATAATAAGAGGGATCATACAAAATGCATATTATTAATTATTTAGTGCTGACCTGAATAAGATATTTCACATAAAATATATATTACAGTCCACAACAGAAAATAATAGTTGAATTTATAAAAATGAGTTTACATCCCCTTGATTCTTAATACTGTGATGTTGCCTGAAAGATCCACAGCTCTGTATTTTTTTTTCCCTTTATTGATAGTTGTTCATGAGTCCCTTGTTTGTCCTGAACAGTTAAACTGCCTGCTGTTCTTCAGAAAAATCCTTCAGGTCCCACAAAGGTCAGGTCTTTGGTTTTCCAGCATTTTTGTGTATTTGAACCCTTTCCAACAATGACTGTGTGATTTTGAGATCCATCTTTTCACACTGAAGACAACTGAGGGACTCATATGCAACTATTATAGAAGGTTCAAACGCTCACAGATGCTCCAGAAGGAAAAACCATGCATTAAGAGCCGTGGTTGAAATGAAAACTTTTGAACAGAATGGAGATGTGTACATTTTTCTTATTTTGCCTAAATATCATATTTTTTCATTTAGTACTGCCTTTCAGAGGCTACAGAAGATAGTTGCATGTTTCCCCGAAGACAAAATAAGTTAAATTTACTCTGATCTTCAAATTCACTCTTAATGCATGGTTTTTCCTTCTGGAGCATCAATGAGCGTTTGAACCTTCTGTAATAGTTGCATATGAGTCCCTCAGTTGTATATTGTTAGGTTGTTACTAGGGCATTGTGGGTAGTTTCTAGGGTGTTCTGGGTTGTTGAAGTTGCTGTTGGGCGATTTTTAATATGTGCACTAGGTGGTTTCTAGGGCATCATTAGGCACTTGCTGTGGTTTTCTGGGGGTAACTAAGCAGTTAGGATGTTGTTAGATGGTTTATGTGGAGTTCTTGGTGGTTCCTATGGCACTGTTATGCAGTTTCTAGTTTTCTGGGGGTTGCTATGTATCAGAGTGCTGCTAGGCACTTATCAGGGTCTTCTGGGTGGTTGTTATGGCGTTAGGTGGTTAATAGGGTGTTATGGGTGGTTCATAATGTGTTCTGGGTAGTTACTATGGCATGGCAGTTTTTTGGGAGGGGGGGATGCTAATCATAGGGTTAGTTGCGAGGGTGTTATGGGTGGTTTTTAGGTTGTTGTAATGCAATTGCTGTTGGGTGGGTGTTCTGGGAGGTTTCTATGGCATTGTTAGCCACTTGCTGTGGATTTCTGGGGGTAGCTAAGAATTTGGGGTGTTGTTAGATGGTTTTTAATGTTTTCCTCCAGCATTCAAGTGTTTCTAGGCATTTACCAGTGTGTTCTGGGTGTTTTATGGTGTTGCTGGGGTGTTATGAGTAGTGTTGTCAAAATTGAAAAAAAAAAATTGGTGTTGTGAAATTTTAAAAACGTTCATTTCCCGCTAACATTTGAGCGCTGCTGAGCCAATTGTTAAACACTGCTGATTATAATAGTCATATCTGTTGAGTGCGTGCCGTGAACACATTGGCCAGTCAGCAGTGTTTAAGAATCGACTCAACGGCGCTCAAATGGTAGCGGGAAATGGAAGTTTTTAAAACCGACTGGTATACCGAAGTCAGTACTTTTGACAACACTAGTTATGAGGGGTCTCTATGGTGTTTTAGGTGGTTGCTAAAGCATTGTTCGGAATTCAATAGGGTGTTCTTGGGTGTTGCTAAACAGTTGCCAGGGTGTTTTAGGAAATTGTTTACTGGCCCAAGTCAAAAAGCCCTTCCCTGATTCTTTATGATATTCTGATTTCTAGATATAACTTGGTCCCCTATTTCAGTTTCATTAGAAATTCTTTGTGTTGTAAATTCTGCTTCATGTTGCCTTTTAAAGTCCTACTGTGTAATGCCTGTTCACAAACAATGGCTTCCCATCTCCATTAATAATTCTCCCTTCTTTCTTTGTGAAAGATGAGAGCAGTTTGAAGATGAACCATGTGGATCACATTCCTCAGACACTGGCCAGCCACGGGCCTGTCCCAGCAGAGACCCACACCCGCAGCCAACACGGCGCCGATATGCTGCAACCGGACCCCCGCGACACCTTCTTCAACAGTAAGCCTCTATCTGTCTGTTCCGGTCCCTTTTTATTTGATTCTTCTGTCTCTCTGTTGCTATTGGATCCACTGCAATTGTTTTTCCTCATTTTGTGTTCCGTAATGACAAATAATGTTTGGCAGGAGAATTTGATAATCTGCCTCTGGTAATATTAAACTGTCTTTCTCACAATACTCTCCATAGTTCCCATGATTGACCCCTCTCATCTTGAAAATGTGTTGCCCGCCTGTCTCTACTCGCCAACATATGTGGTCAAAGACTTCCCTATCGCTCGCTATCAAGGCCTACAGTTTGTAAGTCTAACAAACATATTTCTGCACACATTGTGCCAAATAGTACAACAGAAAATACCTTTTGAGTAACAATGCACTTGCACCTGTTGACGTATTGACTTGCTGCTGCAGTGTACTAAAACTTCCTGTGTGATTACTGCCCCCTTTTGGCTTACAAAAGTAATTGCAGGCATACCATAAAAGCCAATCAAAAGCACAAAAACAATTAAGATTAAGGTGAGAGCAATAATAAACAGGTACATTTACACAAAATATTATCAATTATCATCATTATATTATAGATTTTGTATTTTGTTTATCGCTGAAAATAACATTCAATTTTCTGCATCAAATGAAGAAACGAACATTTGTTTTGACAAATCAGACTTCACAATGCTACATTTTTTCTATATCCTACAATGCAATGTGCTTGACATTACCTGCAAGCAATATAATTTTTTGACGACTTATATGTAATTTGAATACACAAAGTCAGTTTCCTGAGATGAAAACTCTATACCACTTGCCTAAATAAAAAGCAAGAATTATTCAGATGTTTATTGTTGCATACTTTCACATTATTTTTCAAAAGATTTGTAGGCAGCATGCAGTACAGTATATGCTAGACAATAGGCTTTTATCTAGTATTGACAGACATATTCTGCTGATCAGTAGTGAGCTTCTGAAATTTCAAGTGAATTATTGGGGTTGTCATGTCTGGTATTTTGCCTGCAGGTCTATCTTTCTTTTGTCTATCCCAATGACTTCACCCGTCTCACCCACATGGAAAGAGAAAACAAGTGCTTCTATAGAGAGTCACCCATCTATTTGGAGAAGTAAGCTTGTATATAGATTATAATGGCAATAAATATATTGAAATATATTATGAAATATAATGTGTACAGTAAGACCAGGGACATTTATCAAGAAAGTATTTTTTTTTTCTTCAACTCATAGAAGATTTCTTGAAATTAAATGGTACTCTGAATCGTTATGATCACTGAAACAGAGATGAATAAATACAGTTCTCTAAAACTCTGTATTTCTGTCTTTCATGGACTTGATCTTTTTCTCTCCATCTCTGTCTCTAACAGGTTTGGCTTCTATAAATACATGAAGATGGATGAGGAGGAAGATGACAGGCCATTCTTCTTCCCTAATCCTGATGGTGAGTTTTCATGTGTGTGATCAGTGATCCAGAAGAGGAATAACACTTTATTAGTGCATCGTTCCGTCACAAGCTTCTTTATTAGAACATGGCAGATATATTCATCAGGAGATAATGGCCTTGGGTTTGAGCCAGAAAAGAAATGAATTGCTGGATTTGTGTTTATTTTCAAAGGGTTAAGGCCTGGTTACATCGACAACAACATGAAAATTACTGACGAAAGGTGTTTTCATAAGACAAACTACACGTTGTTTAGGTATCAACATTCTAAACTATAAAATCCTGGTAACATCCTATAAAATAACTGTAAAAACTATGATTTAAACAACTTTACAGTTCAAATAGTGCAAGTTTTGATAAAAAACAACAAGTCTGAACAGGAACGGAAGATATACCGGCTGAATAAAAATACAAATTCACTCTCCAGTAGGTGATGCTTATGGAAAGCAGAAATACAATAGCTACGATATTTACCTTGTACACAAAGCAGCATTGCACTTATAAACACGATTTCATTAAACGTAACCCAGAGTTAAGATGAAAAGAAAATGCCATAAAAACTTTTCCGAAGACTGTCAGTTCCTGTCCGATATGTATTCATATACACAGGCCCTGTCCACACGAACGCGGTTCTTTTTAAAACCACAGCTTTTTCTATGCAGTTTGGCCGTTCGTCCACACGCAAACGCAGCACCAGGTCACTGAAACCGAACATTTTTTAAAACTCCTGCCAGGGTGAAGATTTTCAAAAACTCTGGTTGCAGTGTTATCGTGTAGACAGTGAAACTCGAGTTTTTGGCTTGTGATGTCGGAGCCTGCGCTGTTATCTCCGCCTACTGGAAACTTTTTCAGGCTTCTGATTGGCCAACATGGCTTTACGGTTGAGATTATATCGCCACCTGTTGGTTTGGCATGCTCTTGACAGTGCTTCATAGCATGCGTTTGCGTTTTCATATGGACGGAGATTTTTTTTTAAAACGGAAGAAGGAAAAAATCAGTTTATAAAAATACCCGTGTACGTGTGGACATGGCCCCATATAAATTCCTCAGATTTGTACAAATCACGTAAATGGCCTATTTCAGTGTCAGAACGGTGTGTTTTGCCAAAAGGCAACAAGTTTGCAGGTAAGGTATATTTCACAACCCCTATTGCAGGGTCACTCAAACATATTGCAATTCCACTAGGTGCCACTTGTAGAAGTTTCATACTACAGCTGTAAAGTCTTGATATGAATAGGCCTATAAGTTGCAAATATCCGAGAATTATTTTTCAAGGTCTCTTTGTGAGCTTGGCATCAAGTGGTGGAGTTACACTCATAGTGTTTGTTTTTGGTGTTCTGCTTTAGATTTTCTTGAAGAAGAAGAGGGGGCGGATCCAGAGGATGAAGCACAAGTTGTTGGCACCCAGTCAGCAAAGAAGACCGTCCAACCTAGCCAATCAAATCACACCTCAAGCCCCTCTGATAAACCTGTTCCCACAATGCTGGAGAAAAAAGAGGTAGAGCCGGACAACCCAACTTTTAGTAGAGAGCAAAGGCGCTTTTTCACGAGAGCAAGGCAGGTGGTTGGGTCTCAACCTCAAGAGACGGACCAAGACAATCTGGACCATCAGGCTAAGGTAGGGTTACCAAAAAGTGAGAGTGTGGTGCGAGGTCGTTCTCTCACTTGGGTTCAAAGAGACCGCCGGGACCTCAGAGAGGGTTGGTCAGAAGATCATTCACCGAAAATAAGCAGATCAGTTTTGCTTTTCCCGCCAAAATCCTCATTGGTGGCCCTCAACAGTCGAGCCAAGCAAATTCTCAGCAGTTCTGCCCACACCGTTCCTTCCCCAGGTAACAACCACGCTCATGACAACAGCCACAATCCTGGAACTAGCCACACCAACAAGGAACGCAAGAAGGAGGACAACAAAATCTACGTCACAAGACCTCGCCCTGCTAAGGAGAAGCAAAGTCTTGTTTCACGCCAACCCAGAGAGCTCTTCCCTGGTGTTTTCCTGTACCAGAATGGCAAAACCACAAAGCTGGTGAACCTCAGTGCCAAACCAAAGCTCAGCAAAGGAGCTCTGCGTGCATCCCAGTTATTTGCACGGTCTCCTCTGCAAGAGAACAAGGTCTTTCCAGCGAGCCCCAACTTCAGCAAGCCAGCTGAAAATCCCATGCCCCCAAACAGAGCAGCAATCCCAAGCCGCTTTGAGAGAAGGATACGAGGCTGGGAAAAACACCAGTATCCCTTGAGGCCCATCACAACCGCTCGACCACCTCGTGTGCCCACCCCTCCGTCCGCTAACTCCTCTGAGAACGTGCTTCCAACTGAGCCTCTCCGTGTCACTTCCTACTTGCACACCTCTGAGATTACCGAGTCCCAACAGCAGCGGCCGGACACGGACCCAGAACCAGAGGAGGAAGGAGGCCTTTCGGAGTATAGCTATGAGGATGTGGAGCCTCGTCCCGGGTGGGCGGAGGAGGCCATTAATTGGCAGAGGACGTTTTCCGTTAATAGCATGGACTTTGAGACATTGCGCTCTGACTGGAATGATCTTCGGTGCAACGTATCTGGAAACCTGCAGCTGTCTGAGAGTGAAGTGGTGGACGTTCTTGCACAGTACATGGAGAAACTCAACGAACTTAATGGAGGGTGAGGCTGATATAGAAACCAATATTTTAGTTTCCGATATATCGGTAAAATCTGTATTTACACTTTATATATTTGTATTTATATCAATATTTATATTTAAAATTATTTTTCCGCTGTGTAACTCTACAGCCATTTAGCGATACAGAGACTTACACATTTAATTCAAAATATATCGGTAAATATCGGTTTTCACACAGTGTTTGTGTTTTGGCATCTTTTTTTTAAATTCATTGTTACATTCCTTTGAGGTTTCTTTTTCCTGTCTGTCTAGTTAGCGATACAGATAATTACTATAATTACTGGAAAGTGGACACCTTACATTTTATGTATTTTTATTTATATTACTATTATAACTAAATTTATACACATTTCTTTTTTGTTGTTGTTCTGCTGAAAATAATTCTGAAAAAATGTAAAATAATTTAATGTGTAAAATTTCAGTTTTTTTCAGTTTCTTTTTCCTCTCTTCAACTGCACAGCTTTTTAGCAATAAAGAGAATTACTGTAATTATTGTTGAAAATGGGCACCTTACCATTCATATACATTTAAAATTGCACTGGTGTGCATTTTCAAGTAATCGCACAACCACTCACTCCACCATGTAATCTTTTTTTTCCCTCCCTCTTTCTCAGGATTTACACTCTCCTCCGCATTATAAATGTAGAAAAGCGGCGTGACTCTGCACGCGGTAACCGCTACCTAATAGAGCTGGAGCTAATGGAGAGAGGTCGTAAAGTGGTCCGTTTATCTGAGTACATCTACATGCTGTTGCACCGTAGCCGGGTAGAAGACAGCCTGGAGAATATGGAAGGGGTCACAGCATCATCCCTCTCTTCCCCTGTCGCCAGCCCACCTGCTCCACCCTCCCGCACACCTACCCGTGGGGCCCACGGCACCCCGCAGTGGGGCACAGTGTATGCCAAACCCCTGCTGTGCCAGCCAGTGATGCTGCAGTGGAAAAAGAATGTCATGGTGCATTTTGTGGTACCAGGTAAGTAATAAATATCTATCTATTTTTGTGAAACTATGTACCCAGATGGTCCACTTTCCTGCACAGTTTAGCTCTAACCAGTGTTGCTAAGTCCGCGGTTTTCCCGCAGAATTGGGCTACTTTAACACTGTGGCTGCGGGTTGTTTTTCATGTCCGCGGGTTGAAGCAACCCAGATAATGTGATATTTAGCCCCTAAAATGTGAATTTTACCAGGGAAACCCTGCCAAAAAACGTGTATTTTACCCTCTGGAATGCGATTTTTACTGGGGGACCCCCCTCGAAACGCGATTGGGCTAGTTTTGAGTAGCAATTGGGTGAGTTTTGTTGTGAAAACCTGGCAACCCTGGCTCTAACCTTGTTCAAACTCATCTGCTTGTAACTTTACTAGAAATTACTAGTAATCATGAATCATTTTATTAGCTTGTTCAGGTGTGTTTAATTAGGTTTGGAGTTAAACTCTGCAGGAAAGTGGACCTCGTGGGTCAGAGTTGAGAATCCCTGATGTAACTTAAATGTATCGCCAAAAATCCTGTGCTTGTGCTCTTTGTTTAAATGCCACCTTGTTTGAGAGCATTGACATTCATACATTTTAAAGTGCAACTTAAGTGTCTAAATACCTCTTGGGGCCACTATAGTTTGAAATTCAAATCAAGGTGGGGACCTGGTTTGTTTTTCATGGTTGTTTCTCACTTTTTTTTCAATTTATTTTTGTGTAGCAGTGAATTTGAAAGGTTTTGCATGGTGGGTTAATTTTGATTGGCAGATATGTGATGAAAAAATGTCCCTTGTCTGATCAGAAATTCCATTCGTGTATGTGGAATCTGTCACAACTAGCCTCAAACTACAGGCAACCAGTTTACATAACACTCAGTTAGTTTAATAGAACTCTATTAAAGGAATAGTTCACCCAAAAATGTAAATTTAGCTGAATATGTCCTTACCCTCAGGCTATCCAAGATGTAGATGAGTTTGTTTCTTTATCAGATTTGGACAAATGTACCATTACATCACTTGCTCACCAATGGATCCTCTGCAGTGCATGGGTGCCGTCAGAATGAGAGTCCAAGCAGCTGATAAATACATCACAATAACAATAATTTACATAAGTTTATCATGTCATTAACACAATTCTATAAAACAAAATACATTTGGCTTAAAAGGCCAACTGGGAAAAAAACGTCCACAGATGTAATAATGTTTATAAACTGAAATGAAGCTGTCAATACATTGGGACTATAAATTAAATGTTTAAAATAAATTACATATATAGAACAGCAGAATCATATATTTTTGCTTTGTCTAAAATATAAAAACAAGACTATATCATATAAATACAAGTTCAAGTTGCAAGTTTTTTGCAAGTTATGCCCAAGTACGTTTTCTGCTATGCAAATAAAAAGGCAAATCTTTGTTTTGATGTAGCTGACGTATGAATATTATGTGGTATTATTATAATGTATTTGTTGATTTGTTTCCTACAGTGAAGAATCAGGCGCGTTGGGTTCAGCAGTTCATTTCAGACATGGAGTTCCTGCACCGTGAGACCAAGGACAACAACTTCAACATCATCATTGTGGACTTCCAGAGTGAAGACATGGACGTGGAGCAGGCTCTCAGAGAAAGCTCCGTTCCGCGGTACGCCAACACATGTTTACACGCCACTTTGTTATTATATTCATTATATAGAAACTTGCAAATGTAGGTAGTTGATATCTTGCGCTCTGACGTGCTAAACTTCTTCAAAAACTATTTTAAATAGCAATTTAATTGAGACTAAATTTAATATATATGTATATTTAATATACTGTGTATATAATTTTCAAATAGTTGCATCTCGACCAAATATTGTCCGATCCTAACAAACCATACATCAATGTAAAGCTTATTTATTCAGCTTTCAGATGATGTACAAGTCTCAATTTCGGAAAAATTGACCCTTATGACTTGTTTTGTGAACCAGTGTCACATATAAAAAGTTCCTCTATTTCAAATGTAAAAGCCCTTTCACAACAAAAGTGAAATGAATACACCTCAGGCTGAAGGAAATGTAAATTCATGTCTGTACAGTAGAGGGCGCAGCTCAAACAAATTGCAAAAGAATATGACGCAGAAGAAAGTTGAACACTATTCAGCAATAACAAAAACGAAACATATATGTGTCACTTTTACTTAGTATGGTTGAACTGGATCATCGAAGGTCAGTAGCAAAGACATTGGTTAATAAAAATGGAATTAAATACATAAATGATATTTGTATTATTTAAGATATTTAACTATTGCAGTTTTGTATTCTGAGTTTGCATTTGACTGTTTTTATTCATTTTGAAGAATACTGCATCTGCTTTTGTGCAGGTGAGATGAGTAAATGCATGTTCATATTTAGTCTAGAACTACAGTAAGCATCATGTTCACACACAACGCTCTGCACTTACTCCCGATTTCTCTCTACATGGCAACACCAGAGCTGCCAGTCAAGACATGGGAAACAAAGTAACTGGCGTTACTTATTTGAAAAAGTAACTCACATATTTCCTTCTGAATTAAAAAGTAATGCGGTACTTTACTAGTTACTTTAAAAAAGTAATCTGATTACGTAACTGGCGTTACTTGTTACTACTGTGTATATATATATAATTTTTTTATGACTCACTGGAGCAGTATTTAAAATGAACTAGTGTTGAGGTGCTTTAAAAAGTTCTCGACCCAAGATACCGTTTTTTTTTTGTTTTGTTAAAAACAGGAAAAAACGTATAAATATGAAAAAAAAAACTAATTACATTATGCCAACTTCCCCTACATATAAACATACATATTCAGCATAAACATTTAAATGTTAAATTAATATACATTTGTATATGAGATATTCTGTTATCTAATATGCCGATGTATATTAATCTATTACGTTTTAGAGTAATTTACATTAGAGTAAATATAAATTACTGTAATGTTATATGTGAATGTTTATAAATATAAAAATGTCTAATGGAAACATTATGCATCTACTTTCCCTTTACATAAACATACACATATATTTAAATATGTAAAATTAATATACATATATTTAGTATATTACATATTCTGTTAAAGTTATATATGTGTGTGTGTGTGTGTGTGTGTGTGTGTGTGTGTGCGTGATGTGGTGATTAAATGATTAAAAATAGTAAATGATGTTTATCTGAAAGTGTAACAATGCAAACAGGTTTTCTGTAAGGGGTAGGTTTAGGGTTAGGGGACAGAAAATATCGTTTGGTCAGTATAAAAGTAATAGAAGTCTATGGAAAGTCCCCACAATTCACAGAAACCTAACGTGTGTGTGTGTGTTTGTTTATATATTTATTATAAGATTGTTATATGTTGATTAGTAAAATATATATATATAATATATTAATTGAATATATTTTTTAAATATGTAATATATGTTAATAGACTATTTATAGTTAATAGAGCTAATTATATACTCAGATGGATATTTGTGTATTTAGCATATAAAACAGAGGCATATTACTGTTGTATTTCTATTTTTCTGGACTCTTGTGTACACAGATATGAGTATCTGAGGAGAGAAGGAAACTTTGAACGTTCTGCTGGGTTACAGATCGGTGTGGACACCATAGAGGTAATCATACACTCACAGCTTTCAGATGATCTGATTTCAAATCGGATTTATTATAATTCCAAAATAACACATTGTAGATGTTCAGACATTCTCAGTAATGTTTCATATCTGTGGTAAAGTGCATAACGGCACACAAATTGTTCCTGTTGCTCAACTGGTGGATCTAGGAATGCCAAGGTCATGGGTTCGATTCCCAGAAATCATATTATGTACTGATGTAAAATGCTTCGGATAAAGTGTGAAATTATTATTTTTTTATATATAAACACATTATCAATGTTATCAAGTGTTTAGAAAATACTGTATAAACAAATGAAGCTTTAGTTCCCAAATTATCAAGATTCAGTTTTTATTTTTATTTTTTTGGTTGTTTTTTTAACATGGATTTTTCAATCAATTGGCAAAAGATGCATCTTTCATAAAATCAAAAATGAGTCTGAAAAGCACGTAAATGTTATTTTAAATTAGTTGTTAACGCACACTTGCGGTAATTCCAGCATGACGCAACATTATGTCACAGTTCCCCATACAGCGATTAAACCTGTAAGCTCAACACGAGTGTGATTATCAGTGATTCACTGTTTGCAGAGACAACCGTTTCTAGGAATCCTCCTCGTGTTAATGAGTGTATAAATGTGGCTTTTACTATAATGTAACAAAGCTGACGAGCAGGATGTGTTTGATCAGTCGTGTAGTTCAGTACTGTAGCAGTGTGGGCTGATGTTTTGCTGATGTGTGTTTGCAGGACAGTCACAGCATCGTGTTTCTGTGTGACCTGCACATTCATTTCCCTCTGAACATCCTGGAGAACACCAGGAAACACTGTGTGGAGGGCAAACTGGCCTTCGCTCCGATAGTCATGAGACTGGGCTGCGGCAGCTCACCGCAGGAGCCTGACGGTACGACGCAGCTCACACACGCTCAAACACAGCCGCTGTCACACTGGACTTCATCAAACCCACGGCTCTGTGTCTGCAGGTTACTGGGAGGTGAACGGCTTCGGCCTGTTTGGGATCTACAAGTCCGATTTTGACAAGATTGGTGGGATGAACACGGAGGAGTTTAAGGACCGCTGGGGAGGAGAAGACTGGGAACTACTGGACAGGTAGAAGCGCTTTACAGGAAACAAGTTTATTTTGTAGTATTCATTCATTTGTGCAATACAATTTAAGACATTAGTAGTAGTAGTAGTAGTAGTATCAGGAATTATTATTATAATGGTATTAGTTATTTATAATTTAGAGACTTTGACAGTGATGTTTTTGTTAGTATTATTATTAATAATAATTAATAATAATAATATGTTAAATATCATGTTATTATTAATATCTTAATTAAAATTATGATATCGAAATACTATTTTGTTCTTAATAATTATTATTATTAATAATAATAATAATAATATTACTATTAGTAGTAGTAGTATCTCAGTTATTTATGATAATTTAGAGGTGATGTTATCATTAATAATAATAATAATAATAAGTTAAATATCATTATTAATAATATCATTAAAATGATGTTGAAATATTATTCTGTTGTCGTTAATAATAATAATAATAATTATTATTATTGTTGTTGTTGTTATATGTTAGATGGATATAATTTTATTTATATTATTATTACAATTATGATTGTAAATTGTGAATTGAGATCTTCACAGTGATGTTATAGTAATCATCATCATCAATCATATTAAATATTATTTTATTATTAATATTACTTACAGTTATGATATTGAATTGAGAGTTTCAGACTGTGACAATATTATTGTTGTTGATGTATTGTTGATAATAATATATAATTGTATTAATACTATTAAATTTATTATTAATATTAGTTAAATTATGATATTGAATAATAATAATAATAATAATTTAATATATTATTAGTATTATTATT